ATAGGGAAAATAGCTAGGGCTACAGTATTCCAGACCCACCAAAAAGGTCTGAATTGCCGTGCTGGGGCAAGTACCCCCCTGAACTGACGGGGTATGCAATGTACAAGGCCCACACTGGGAATTCAGACGGTATGCCCTGTCATTTTCTCGACAGCAGCCCGTCCCACGAAAGAAGCCTTGAATCGCATTGGCGAGCGCCTGTTCGGATGCGACCTCTCATTCTGTTGTGGTGCAGGCTATGTGCTTCAGCTGTGCGGAGCAGGTTCGAGTTCGAGGCTGACATTTTCAAATCTTGCCTTTGCCGGTTTTCCAGTGTAACTGCCAATACTGCGCGATTGCAGGACATGGGTGCCCTGTGTGTCGTGCTGCGATCACACACGTTGTGCGCGCCACCCTTCTGAAGAAATGAATGTCTGTGGCACTGTGGCACATCAGCATGCTGTAGACACATGCATGTTTAGCGGCAACAAGGTCTTCGACTCTTGCCAAAGTCTCAGATCTGTTGCGCTGCTTGCTGTGTGCATACTGCTGGAACCTGGGAGAACCTGCAACCTTTGGCCCAGGAACTGCGGACTGCACCGGGCGACGAGAAGTGGCCATGTTGAGAAAAAGTTTGTTGCGAGCAGCATTCCTCTCTGAACAACGAATCATTGTGTCTGGCTTGCAGGGGGCTCTGCTGTCGCGGCTGTTGCAGGCCAGAAGACTTGGCAGGTTTCACCTCTCTGTCACGTCTTTGCCGATTCAGCACACTGGGTCCAGCTAGCGTGATGTGTCATTGCCAATACCTGACTACGGTCATTCCTACTTGTACCAGCTACCAAAGTGCCCTCTTTGAACAACGTGAGCTGCGGTCAGACCATGATGATTGACGCGGCCTTACTTCATCTTTGCTTATGGTAGAGGATGTAGGAGCCAGCCTGAGACAAGTATGTCTAGCAGGTCTTGACATGTCGAGTGCGAACGTCTTTTCAAGTCCTTTGCGCACCCGTTGTTCTGCAACTGTCTTTTGGCAATAACATTTAGTCAATTTAGTCAAGAATTTGGTAACAATTCAGTTGAAGATGATCAGAACGCGGAACAGTGTACTTAAACCAGGCAATCCTGAGGATGCCGGCCGCCTGCGCCTTGATTGGTTTACTGATATCAAACTTAGACAACCTTGGCTCCCTGCAGTGGCGCCGAAACGGATTTCACCAAAATTGTGTGCGAGCAAGGTTACTGTAAGGTTGGCACAAGCTTGCACGAAAGAGCCAAACAGGGAGAAGGACCGCCAGACAACAACCAAAGGAATGCTATGGACGGATTTCAGCAAACACAGCACAAGGCAGCACCAGCCATTGTTGTTGAAAGTAAGCACAGAAGAGAAGATGAGGTAGAATGTCAACATGCAAGGGAACTCTGCTGCAGATGTGGGGCATACGCAGCCTTCCACGCAGCTTGTAAGCCGGCAAGTGAACAAAATCCGCGACGTAAGACGAACCCGACTCGCTTGTGGGTCCGCGCCTCGCACGCATCACCCTTGAGTGAAAGATGTGTCCAGAGAGACGTTGCTGTCTTATGTAGGCTTCTGGATGTTGGAAGCTATTGTTAGCACTTGTAACATCGTTCGAAGGTATTGTGGATGTTTAGCTGGCCGCCACTAGCCTGCTCACACGCATTTGTGTTCTGGGCATTAACGTTTGATCAATGAGCTTTCCTGGCCAGCTGTTAGAAAAGCAGCCTGGGTGTAGCAGGTCGGCATCTGGTACGGTTTTCGGGCAAAAGTCTTAGTTGGTACAATTGCATAGTCAACATTGTCAGACACAAGCTGAGAGCAATGCTAGAACAAACTAGTGGTTTCCCAAGCTGGCCAGTGAAGAGTGGCCTTCGACATCGTAGCTCCGTAGGCCATCTTGATGCTCCGCTGTCCAGCCAAGTCGAATTGGAGCGGATTAGAGCCATGTTGGATTCAAAAGGGGGCCGTACATTTTGGGTCGGAAATCCAGGTATGCCCATGCGCCATCGGACAGGCGCCACAGGCCAGTCCTGAAATCGTGGAACCGAAACGGCACCCGCCCCAACCCGAAATGGTTGACCCGAAACGCGCACGGCCCCAGAGTTTGCTTCGCCGCAGGTAAATCATGTGTACTTCTGTGTTGTCACCATGTTGGATCTGTTAAGCTTCTGAACCTATAGTGACTATGGTGTCCGTTGCTGTTCAGCACGCATGGGGCGGGCATCATTATTGCTCGCAGCATGGAGTTCAGGAATCTGAGTCGCGAGTCGTCACTTCACTAGCAGCGACTAGCATTCTGCAATGGTCCGACCTGAGCTACGATGATACGGGTGCGGATGATGCTTAGGCTTATAGATGCTGTCCATCCCGTCCATCAAATCATGGCTGGCGCTGCGGCATGGTGTTTATTTGAAAGGGCCTGCAGCCAGGCTCCTGTATACATGAAGTCCATCGTGATCGGAGGTTCCTTGTTCCAAGAAGGCAGGGCAAGGTTTGCAACGTGTCATGTAAATCTGGAATAGAGAGCAGGCTTTGTGAAGAATGCTCTCTTTGGGCGTGCCTTACTTCATTCGGCTTCGAATCCCGGGCCTTTGCCTGGCTGCCATGTTCTCTCCAATCTCAGGGTGTCAAGTGAGTCGCTTGCAGCTAACTTACTAAGGTTCTGCAACACGCGCTTGTCCTTCCAGTCCTCTCGAGAGGCCAAGCGATGTCAATTGAGCTCAAGCTGGCTGTAGCCAAAGCCCTAGTAACACTTGCAAGAGTTGCTTCTGAGGCTGCAGAAGCCACGGAAGGCTGTTGCAAGGCACAGGTTTGCAGGGGCTTTCACGTAGATGTCCCAAGTGAAGTTGCGCAGGTTTCCACTGCTGGCTTAAGCCTTGTGTGGGCTGCTGCCGATCTGCCAAGCAACCCGACGGCCAAATAGCAGTATCTTACACTCAGGCTTTGTAGCTTTGGCGTTGCCTGCAACAGTAGCCACCTGGGTGTCGTCATCAAACGCCTCCTAATGTGGTTCTCTTGGGCGGTTTTTCAGAATGAGTCAATATGAAAAAGTTGCACGAACTGCGGCACGCGAAAGGCCGCAGAGGCAAGGCGGAAGGCGCATGATGCTATACCTGAGGCGCGGAGCTCTTATGATATCAGACGCTACTTGTACCAGCTTGTCAAACAGGATATTGAGAGCTTACCAAAAGGCTTGCCCAAGGCAGAATGCATTTTGGGAATGCAGAAAGTGCACTTTGCCAGGTCCTCTTGTTTGGGGTGAGCCGTGGGCCTACTTTCATCCATCCCGCAGACCCAAATGCAATTTTGAGGTTGAGAGTTTATGGTTCAACTAAAACGAAAACATCCGAAAACCCAAATCTGAAGTCCTGAGCTCGGAACCTAAACCCAATGGCCCTATGGCCTTTGGTGGATGAAGGAAGCGTTGACACCAGTTGCAACAAGGGGGGTTGGGGGGGGGTTGCCTCAACGCCCAAAATGACGACCTGGTATGACTCCTAAGGTGTCCCAAATATTGGGGTTGGGTTTACCAAGACCCTTACCAAAACAGGATCCCCTGCAACTCCTTGGAAACGTGCTGTCTGTGGGCTATTGTGGGCTTTCCAAGTTGGGTGACCTTAGACTCTTAGATAGGCCAAGCAGGGCTTCCTTTTACAATCGACCCAAAGCCGTGAAGAGAGAGAGGCCGCGCAAACGAAAATTCATTCTGTTAGGGCCATCAAGCACTGTGTAGGAGCATTTGTATTTCTGCCCTTCATGACACTCATTTCTGTGCACCTCTTTCTGCCGCATACCACTGATCTATTGCCAATCCTGACACTTCATTCTGCGCTTCATGTCATAGCAATTATGTCTGCCTCACGAAAACACCTACTTCTGGAAAATGCTAAGCTTGGGCCAAGTAAACAGTCCGCTGCCTTATAGTGCGAATGTTTCAGCACATCAGCTTTTGGTTCAATTGTTTTTGCCCTGTGGCTGTGTAAGGGGATTGTTGTAGGGGCCTAGGTGGCATTCAAGCTGGGGACCCTCACTTTTGAGGGTCCGCCGTTAGTCCTGGTGCTACTTGGGTACCAGTGCTGTCGCCATGGCAGCCCTTCCGCCCTTGTCCATGAAAAATCATTCTGCTGCCAGAATCATTGGCTGAATTGGAAACCCTTGCCCATGCATGCATCCAAACCATGCCATAATCAAACTAAAATTCTTGCTTAACTGTATCTAAACAATACTTCTTGTCGCAAATTATTACACCATAAATTTAAGCCTTATTCCCTAGATAACGATGATTATTGCTTAATTAAGCAAAATTACAATCTAAATAAGAGAAAAAGACAAAAAAACATTTCTCAATTAGAAAAATACATTTTATTTAAGAAATACTTATGCTTAATCAAGGAATACTCCTTAACTTTAATGCCGAGAAACTTAATTAAGCAACAATGGAAGATCTGGGAGTAACCACTCAACATCAGAAGTACCAACTACTCCAAGCGCTTGGCGATGGCGTTACACTCCGCCTCCAACTCCGGATTGGCAGCACCCAGGTGAAAACCAGCCCCTGCCCCCAGACGGGAAGCAAAGGCCAGCGGTTCCCTGGGCCCCGCCTGCCCTTCAAGCTCGCTGAAGCCATGACCAGAAAGTCCTTGGGGCTAGCATCGGAGTGGTCGACGACGTAGCAGGAGACTTAGCTCTGCCAGCGGGGCTGTCAATCAACTCCAAGGAGAACAGAACCAACTTTTCGAGCTCCGGGGACGTGCAGATCGCCAGGATGTTCTCGAGATCAGAGGAAGGGGAATCGTCATAAAGGCTGGGGAAGGCATCCTTCAGCTCAGGCAGGAGCTTGCCATCAATGATGCAGGCCTCTTTGCCCATCGCTTCCGCCACTTGCCTTTCCCCTTGCCATCCCTTGCCCTTCTTGCCGTGCCCCTTCGGCGTGTTGTCCGGTGGGGCATCCGTCCCCTCCTTGCTCACCTCGGCCTTGTCGGTGCTTTCGTACCAGTGGCTCGGCTTCCATGATGTTCGGCGGAATTCGCGTTGCAGGTCCCAGTCTGCCTTCACCTTGGCCTGAGCTGCCTTTAGCTCCTGTCTGAACACGGAGGTCTGCTCCCTGGTCATCACCAATTCGAGTTGGCTGGCCTGCGACCAATGACCTTGAAGCTGGGCGACTTCCAGGGCTTTGAGGCGCTGGATCAGAACTTCGAGGGCCCTCAACCCGTCGTTTTGCGCCAACATCTATTGCCGTGGCTGGGGCCCGAGGAGATCTGCTTCGTGCTGAGCGATGTACAGCTGGTGCAGGCACGCCTTAGCAACTGGTTGCAGCTTTGAGCTATTCTTGCCGGTCCCCCACCCTGAGCTCTTAGGAGTAGCTCTTGTGGCCTCATCAACGTCAGCGATGCCAACCGTCCAGGATGGCGCTGATGAACTCGTCGGAGGTGTTCCATGCCTTTGTGCAGGGCGGCTAAACAAAAAACTGAATCGTCCTCGGAATTCTCGGACTCACTGCTTGTTGACTCATCACGATCCTTCTTCTTCTTCTTCTTCTTTTTCTTTTTCTTCTTCGACTTGGCCAGGTCTCAATCCTGGTGACCTCCAGGGATCTCCAGGGCAGAGGCCACTGGAGGTCTCGGCATCCGCGCCGCTATCTCCTGCGCCAAATCAACACCAAAGCCTTTGGCGCCTTCATTGCCATCACCTTTGCTCTTTTCCCTCCTGGCTCTTCCTCGCCGCCAGGATCTTGTAGGTCTGCAAGTCCTCCGATGCCTGCGCCCAACGCGCTAGCGAGCCCAGCGACTCCAGCAGGTCCAGTCCTGACATCTCCACCCCCATCGCTAGGCCCAGGGCTCCCCCCACCCAAAGTTGGGCCGGCAGGACCCGTTGCCTGAGCAATGTGGGCTACGCCAAAATGCGGCGGGCCTTTGCCTCGTCCTTGATCCAAGTCAGCTTCTCCAACATGTCGTGCTCCAGGATTCTGAAGACATCCACGTGCAGCACAGCCTTGTAGATCGTTTCGTCCTTGCAACGTCCACCATGGGTGTGACAGAAATGCATCAGGACTCGTTTGTCCAGCCGGTAGGCCCCGAAGCTCGAGTCCAGCCAGTAGGCATAGTATTCATCCTCTGCCGCGATCACGTGGCCAACAAAGATGTTCCCGTGCTTGGTGCGACCTCCTTCTGCAGTGAGATAGGCAAGAACACGCCCCTGAGTCTTTCCATCGTCGTCCAGCCCGACAAACTCCACCCACAGTTCCGGTGACAGTCCATCGTGGTGCTCCTTGGGTGCCGTGCGCCCCGTCTTTTGCCAGGCATGTTCAGTGGCATGCTTGGCAGCTGGGTGCATGGCTTGGGCTCAAGATCTGCATGCATGCAGATGCAGATCAGTTTTTCTGCAGGACATGTCGACTGGTGATCTCCAGAGGCCTCCACCCTGAGTCTCCAAAAGTGGTAAATTTAGGATTTGGCTTGATTTAGGAAAATGGAGTGACTTAGGAGGCCAAAGGTGTAAATTTCGGTGTAAATGTAAATCTATGAAGGCATGAAAAAGACATTAAAACAGCATGAGAAATGCATATTGTTGTCCCTTGAAAAATGAACAGCACAAGAAATGCATAAGGTTTTTTGCTTGGAAAAAGAAACAACACAAGAAAGCATAAGGCTCTCCTTTACAAAACAGGAGACATCACAGAAATGGCATGTGGATTCCCCATGACAAACTTAGGATTGGGTACATTTGGGGCCAGAACAGGTCTAGAGTTGTTATAGGCGAGGCCAAAATTGTAGCGTACCATTGAGCCATGAGCAGCAGGCAAGAATCAGGATTGCAAGGTATAATCATCAAGGACATGCACTTGCATGTAAAGGTTGTACCTGAGGTATCTGAAGTCACCATGTGAAGCAGGCATGGGTGCAGCGGCGAGACTCCACAAAAGGCTCCTTCGAAATTGAAGCATATGCTTGCCTTGTTCCGTGTCCGTAGTTTTCGAGGTCAATCTCCAACAAAACGCCCGGCTTCTATGATATTCTGATTGGGCGCGGGAATCATCATCAGCAGGCTTCTATGTTGGTCAAGCTTTGCCTGAGCACAGGCACACCGGCCAAAGACAAGGGCTGCGCAACGATCAAGGTCGCCGAAAGGACCAGCAGGCCGGTTTACGCTGCCCTCTCCAAGGATCTGATTGGACAACTCCTTAGGGGCTTCGCCACGTCAGGCAGTGAACGTGAATTCTGGGGTCTGTTCACCTGACTCAGCAAGCTATTGCCGCAGCTACCACCAAAATGTTTGCATTTGCTCCCGACTGAGGTGTATGGTTGCCCTCCGTCCATGAGACTCCCCAAAATGACTGTCCAACGTGCAAAAATGCCGACCACATGTGTTGAACTATTTGATGAATTTTTGCGCAGAGCCATCAGAAAGCTGGAAGAACCCTGTCCTCCGACCGTTTCAACACCTGATATAGCACCTACAGAAGGCACAAGGGCCTGCAAGGAGAAAGGCGTATTCCCAATGTGCTGCGGACGTTTCCCTTCCCAAATGTTGAATTGCACCGGCTTGGTCGCAGATTTGGCAAGCGCCCAGCTTTTCTTTCGTTTTCTGGGTGGGGCTCTAGAAACCTTCTACAGAAGAAGCGCCAAACAGTCGGTTGCGAGATCATCTAGATTTCTTACCGTTTTTTCCTTTCAGCAGAGCTGAAGTGAGGAGGCAGCAAGGAAGCATTCCACTCTTCAAAATGAAAACTCTGGATGTTAGGCATTTAGGGTCAGGAGGTTCACTTAGAGAGCTCACGAGGCTTGGCGGTGCCTTCGTGATATCATCACGTCTCATGCAGGCCGCCCCTCGGAGATGGGAGGCGTTCGATCTTCAAATTGCCTGAGGGGCCGGGTGTTCAAAATTTCTGGACCCCAGAGAAAAAGAGGCGAGCAGGCAAAGATGGCCCCAGAGGAGCACTGCAGAAATTTTCAGTGTGGCACCGGCCACTACCTGTCCACCTGGAGCGCCACTCTCTGTGGGATGGCGGAATTTGCAGTGTGTCAAATATCACGTCTGATCTAGATCCCACATAGGCAGCGCATCACAGCTGGGCCTGGCGCCTGCGGCACTGCCATCATCTGCGGTGTGTTGTCAAGTCAAAGTTTAAACATCCTGTACGCTTTGAGGTGTCGCCGCTGTGCAAGAAGTTGATGGTGGAGGACAGCAATATGACCCGTAGGCACACGGAAGCATAGACCTCCTAGTATAATCGGATCCAGAGAACGGCACCCAGGATTTTTCTCAAAGCCGGCAATTGTGAAGCAGGTCCTCCAGCGTCTTGTATACAATAAAGCCTATTGCCTCAAAGCCGATGTGAAGTGCTCCGACAAGAACTGATTGTTCGGAACACCACGGCCGCAATTTCCAAAGCTTCCGGGGGAAACCAACAGGAATAAAAAAACCTTGCCAAGTGCTGAAGATGATGTTGTTCCATCATGTGCCCCTCGTTGCATACCTACACTCAATGGTCTTTGAGAACATTCCTTCACGCAGGGTACGAGGGTCATCACGCCTACAAGCAAGGCTACGCGGCTTCCGGCAGGACAATTACTCTTTCGTTCCTTCGATACGAGCGAAAGAGTCTTGCCCTCACTCGGAGGTTGCGACCATTCAGATTATACATGACAAAGATGATGGTACAGGGTGGCACCAAGTGAACAACTATGTGCGACACGTCCTTTCCAACGGCCACAGTTTTCTCGGAGGTAAGTGTAGGCAGAGGACATGCGCCGCACTCCCTCTCCCCGGCTTCCTCTCTCTCTCTCTCTCTCTCTCTGTCTCTCTCTCTCTCTTTGTGGCAAGTCTTGTTGATGCAATCCTGCACACGCTGTATGTTCAAGTCCGGAGCCGAGGGCGTTTTGAACGTGTTTTGGTCAGTGTTCTCAAAATTTGCCTGCCATGTTGTGACTTCCAGCGGCACAAGAACTTGAAAGGGGTTGAGCAACCAACGCAAGGGAGCTCAAGGGTGGGCGGAGGAATCCATGAAAAAGAAGCGACCTCGTCCTTAGACAATTTTAGTCCATGCAAGCCTTGACATGTGATATGACATGTGTCCAAAAAATCATGCGCTCAGGTATATCACAAGGGTAGGCGGCAGGAGATCAGCATTAGAATTCAGAACAAATACTGTATAGGGTCACGTAAGCGCATGTGATAAGTTGCAATCGTTGTGACAATGCTTTTTCAATTTCGCAAGAGGAATTGTCCTCCGAGCAAAGAGATGACATGCCTCGCAGAAGCGTGCCCTGCAGAAATGTGAAGCGCGGGTTCTCTCGACTAGGATGCGCTGCAAAGCATTTGGTGCATTCTCGGGTCTGGAGAGGCTTGCGCCTAAAGTGTTGAACACGTCTTGTGCTGGCTGTTGAGATTCGCCCGCAGACACTTTGCACGTTTTTCTTTGGAGGCCCTGGCAGACTGGCTCGCCTCTGACAGCCCAAAAGAAGGCGTCGCTGAGCACGATGGCGATCGCCTGGGAAGGAAGCGACGACGACTCTCTTCTGCGCCGAAAACATCGGTTGAGGCCGAGATTCCTTGGACAAGTTTCAGATCAGCTGCTTTTTTGCCATATGCGGCAATATCTGGTTACAGACTTCGAAAATGCTCAAAGGACGTTGTGGAAGGATACGGAAGAATTCGTGGACGGCTTTTCTTGCAGAAGCTTTTGCGGAAGCTTTAATGACAAAACCTGACCATCCCCTTTCAATTCTGAAGAACACAACTTTTTCGTGCAAAGAACAATTTAAGCTGTACAAAAAAAGAGGCTGTGAAACGGCATGTCGTGTAGAATGCCGCCGACCAAGCAGCATTGTGAGGGCTCTTGCCCACCTTTGGATTTTGGCTTACGCCTTGTCCGAGGGAGCAGAAGCATCATGTCGTTTCCCACTCTGTTTCCTGAACTTTCCTTAGCTGGGGTTGGCACAGTGGAGTCTCCCGGATTGGTGCATGGATTCACATGCAGTAGCTCTGTTGATGTAAGCGGGTTTTCAGTTGTGCCTGCGGTACGTGCTCTCTGCCAATGCCCATGCAAAGTCCCATGCCACAAAGTTTACCATGGATCAGCAAGCTTGGATGATCTTGCATAAGTGATATGATGACATAAGGCAGGGCTTTATGGTAAAGAAGTGTATCCGTCGGGACGCACAGTCATGGATATTGAAAGGAACTGTAAAGCTTACCCTCAGCTCTTTACAACGGCTTTGTGTAGTTGCTGTAGAACATCCGGAATACTTGCAACAACATGATCAGATCTAGGCATTCGTCGATTCGTGCTAGTGCTGAAGCTTAGATGTTGCTAGCGCGTCAGGCTGATGCAGCACCGGTTCGCTTTCCAACGCTGCGCCCTCATCTGCTCCCAAAAAGCTGTGCCAAATGTTACAAGAATGCTCCAGGTATGCATGGTTCAAGGAGGCTGCAAGCTGTCCAGCCTATCAATCCTCGAGGCGAAAGTGTGAAGCAGGCTGCGAAGAGAGACAAAGGGTGCTGCACTACAGGAGCTCCTTTCACTCTGTGGAGCCCTTTATGCATTGGGCTCGAAAGCTGGAGCCTCTGCTTGGAGCCATTGGCGTATTCAAGTTGCTGTAGAAAAATTGTAGCCTTCAGGCACAAACTGGCTTCCATGAACAACACACCTGGTGTGGATGCGTGTGGAACCAACGAGTGTGTATTGTTTGAGATATGCGTGGGCTGTATTGCAAAGAGCAGTTTTTCGACCAGCTTCAGGTTTGAAGTGCAATCGGCACTTGACCCCTCGCAGCTGGCAGACTCCGAATTGTTTCTTGCGCATATCTCAGGTCTTGTGTTTTTACCTCTGAGAGTCTTTGCAACAAGACAGACAAGAATGCTCAGGCTCACTGGCCAGTGGCCGCAAAATCTGACGTTGATTGTTGCATGCCAGACCCGTCGGAAGAAGAAGAAAAAAGGTGGCCAACGTGCAGTCCATCTGCAGATGTCAGTCACTGCGTGAAGAGGCCTTGACCGCCTCATTGGTTGTACCTCGACGTGAAAGACCAGCGTAGTCAAGGCATCATTGGAAGATTGGCTACGGAGCTTCATGTAGTGTAGGTCTCTGAAATTCGCCATGGCGTTCGTGAAGGTG